ATAGGTATACTATAACGTAAAAATCATATTTTTAAATATTTTTCAGTCGGGATAAAAGAAGTATGCCAAAAAAGTTTCCTTGAGACAGAGGAATATATAAATTGTGTCATAATTTTAAACATTATTTATGTATTAAAAATAATATAAATAAATGTTATTAACAACATTATACTTTAAATTGTCAATAAAAATGAATAATTTAATAACAAAAGAAAAAATGAAAATGGGTCTAGAGATTACTCATGCAAGTGAAACACAAAAATTTTATATTTATATAAAATATAAAATATATTTTAATATTTAATAAAAAAAAAAAAAAAATACCAATTCAAATAAATTAAAATTTAATTTATAAATTTGAGTATTAATAATTTAAATAAACATAGAAAGGAAAAAAATGTATTTAAGTAGTGGAAAAATATTATTTACATAACAGAGAATACTTAATTATTTTATGCTTAAAAAGTTAATGAATAAAATATAAAAAAATGATTCGAATATTAAAAAAATTAAATCGATTTGGATATAATTACAGTGGTTATTCAAAATAAAAACGACTTACCGTTATTCCTGGGAGTAAGTAGATAAGTGATTGTCACTCGTTAGTTCATTTCACTCTGGATCGGCACCTATACTTCGGCTGTTAACTCTAATAAAAAGAACAAATACAATATTTCATTTCAATAATTAATTACACTTTAATAATTAAAGAAAAATAAATAATAATTTATTTTATTATTACAATGGGCAGAAACTACGAAAAATGTAATTTGTTAGAATGACAATAATTAACAATCGTGAATGGAACAAGGCAAATAATATTGGACATAGATCATCCGTCTCATCGTTGCTCCCCTCGCGGTATGCCGCCAAAAATATTTAAATTTAAATGGTTTTTATTTACAACAATTTATTTTAAAACATTAACCGATGGAATACTGAGATCTGTTAAAGTTGATATAATTTTTATACACTATCATTTAAGTTTCAAAACGATTTTTACTAAAACTATTAGGCCATAGCGCATGTTAAAATATAATCATGTACAAATATAACAATGTATTGTTATTTGAAATATGGATCAAATATTAAAAATTATGTCTTATAACAATAAATAATATTTATAAATACTTACAATGAATTATATGGTGATGAAAGAAGTACGTTAAAAAAGGCGTAGTTTTTTTTATTTTTTTTTTATTAATATTAATACTCAAATACTATCGGCAGAAACGATAAAAAATGTAATTTGTATGAATGAAATGATTTAACAAACGCAAATAAAATAAAACGAAAAAACATTGGACATAGATCATCTGCCTCATCATTGTTTTCCTCGCGATGTGTTAATCCGTGTGTCACGGAATATTATTTAAATGTAGAAGTTTTTATTTAGGTACAACAATTTATTTTAATTATAAAAAAACATTAACCGGATTAATACTAAGGTATGTTGTAGGTTTTGAAGACTTGAATGTCGTTTTTATTTATTTGTTTTTAAATATTTCTAACTATTTTTCTTTAGTGAGTGCGAGAATAGAAGGATCAATATAGCGATTTATTTGTTATTCATAACATTGATGCACTATTTCTCATTCAATTTTTTTTGTAACTTCTGATGCTTCACGTTAATATATCCAATCAAATTGTAACGCTTTGTGTTGCCAATAATATTCTATAGAGTGTTTCGATTCGACATAGTGATTGCATCTGGTGTCCGTACGGCAGTATTTTTGAGTATGCCCGAATCTTGGGCAACGATTACATTGGATAGGATAGCGGATGCTTAGTGTTACTTCGAATAGGATATTGTAGATAGAAATGGCGGATGATGATTTGCGTGCTATAAATTTCAATTCTACTATGCGAGTGTGTCTAATTTTATCGTCTTTCTGAATAGAAATGCGTTTAGAAGCATCGATTGTTACAGGGGAACGGTGGCCTTCGACAAATTCTTATTCGGAGAAATTGTTATCCGATTTAATTACTCCAAACGAATGTATAAGGTTGCTAGGACTTTACGCGAATTTCACTATTTACACGAGAAAGCCGTTCGCGCGCGGAATATCAGAATTTAAGCAGTTATTACCATTGATAATGGTGTTGAAAGTGATTTTGACCTTTTTTAGTCAGCTGTCTTGATGTTGGTGATGGGATGCCAATTTCCTACGTTTTTATTTTGATCAATGCTCTTGGCTAGTATTATTATAGGGCAGGAGCGTACCCAGGAATTTTTTACGGGGGGGGGGGGGGGGGGGGGAGTTCAACATTTTTATTTTATCTGTTCTCTAATTAAAATTATAGTTTAATTCAATACCAACAAATAACTACCTACAGTAAATATACTATAGTATGGTTTAAACACTATAGGTATATTATATAATCTATAAACCTTGTAAATTGAAGATAATGGGAAATTAAAATACACTAAATACTATTATTATACTATTTACTATTAAACTGTCGAGTGTATAGAAATTTCAATGGGGAGGTCCGAACCCGAACCCCCCTCTCCCTTGGGTAAGCCCTTGTTATAGGGCCGTTATAGTCCGGTGTGAAAGAATGAAGTAGAATATTATTATTGTTTCTATTAGTAGACAAATTAATATCTGTGTTCAAGGTCAGATGAAGAACCTATTGAGCCCCGAGGCTGACATTTTATATGGGTCCTTTTGACAAAACATGCTTTACAAAGATGCTCGCAGAACGATACATTTTTTTAACTCATTCACAAATTGTCAATTGCATTATAAATAATAAAATTAATAGGTATATACACAATTTATGTCTATAAAACTACTAATTTTAGTACGATAAAAAATGTGTAACGGCTTAAAAATGTTTGGGGCCCTTTCACTTAGGTATTTGAGAGAGCCCCGGCTAGACCCCCCCCCCCCTTAATCCAGCCTTGTTTGTGTTGAGCAATGGAGACGACGAAGATCTTTATGCTTAAGCTAACGTTGGGTGTATGCTTATTAGATTGATTATCAACAAGCAGTGGCGTAACTGGAAAAAAATCTAGGAGGGGCAATATAATATTTTTATTATTACCAAAACCCTGACACCCCTCCTCCTCACCAATAAAAACATATTTTTATTGTATGTATTTTATACACTAAATCTAATTGTTTGATTTTACATAAGTCTTTTAACTCATTTTGTGGTTTAGATTTACATAAATTGTAGTTAGCAGGTACTAGGTACCAATATTGTTAAATAATACCCATAAGAGTTCATTAATAAAAGATGCTACTGTTGGATTATCTGGGGGGGGGGGCAAAATTATACCTTTATCTCTCAAAAAATTGTCAGGGGGGTCAGTAATTGTCAGCCCCCCCACAATTACTCCTTTGTCAACAAGTATATTTGAGTCGGCCAAATTATCGGTTACGTTATTGAAATTGAACGTAGCACAGGATGTATCGGTAGATTTTCATTTATGTTTTAGGCGATATTGGACTATTGGCATTTTTAAGTATCTTATAGTTTTTACCGACGATACTGAAACCAGATGGTGAGGCATTATTTTTTGTAAGCGTGGTCTTGATTTTAGTTGTGGCTGAACATTTCCCGGCACGGTTGTTGCTGCTCGAGGACGACGAAATTAAGAACACTAATTGGAATTAGAATTATCAATAACCGAATTTGTTATTTTCATTAATATACAAATTACAATTTAAGAAAAGGAAAACGAGTATTTATATTGACTTATAAAGACCAAACGGTTATCGTTCTTGCTCGCTCTGACGGTTAAAAACGATATTATCCCCCGATTCACGAAATTTATCGTTTAAGATTGCCCTATGTGATACTAATTATTTTTTTTTTTTTTGTTATATTTTACTTTTATCCGAATAATGAATTAACGTAAACTGAACCAAAACAGGTGTACTATGAAGAAGTATATGAAGATTTGAATTCAACTTTTGAAAGCAAATATATTTATTTTGTATGTTCACGATCGCAAAAAAAAATAAAATAAATCATATATATTTAATCAAACTTACTAAAAATGAAGTACAGTTTTATTTTAGTTATTTCATATGTTATTTCATATGTTTTCTAATTAATAATATATCCTAAATCATCAATTACAATACTTTTCAACAGAGATTTGAATTTTTGTTTAAAATAAATGAAATGTCATATTTTATAATTAAGTAATTATCTTTTTTTTTAATTATACGAGTAATATTAACAAGAATGAAACTAAACTCTACTCAAAACAAAAATAATATTGTAATCATTGATCTTTAAATTATAACAATAGTTTATTACATTTACGACAATATACAACAATGTTAGATAAGATAAACAACAACAATTATAATTATAATAATAATAATAATAATAATAATAATATAAGGTAATGATAGTCTAAGTACAGATCCTAGACAATAGTTTTCGGTACTTAATCATTTTAGATACTTAGAACAGCTTCATTTGAAAATAATAAAACTGTTAAAGTAATATCAATGGTTTTTAAAAGAAGGAACTATATGAAATACAAATGAAGGAAACACATTGACAGATTGGTTTTTCTGTTTATAATAAAATATTAAAATTACAGAATATGTCAAGTAGGACTTTTTAATGCAACTTCACATTAAAAGCTATTAAAACATTGCTGTTTGTTCATAATAATTCAAGAAGACTAGTGAAAAGCATTATACCCACTTGTTACATTGTTGGGATTAAAAACGTCTTGATTTATTAATTAGTTCAATAATGTTAATTATGTTATATTATATCACTAGTATATCTTAATAATAAAGGTAACAATAATACAAAATCATATTTAATAATAGATATTAAATTTTTGGGTGGATATAAATATCTAGTTAATTTTATAACTTGATAACTATAACATAATTAAAAAAATGTAATTTAACAAAAACATACTCACCAAAAATAATGTTTATATGTTCAGACTACAAATATAAGTAAAAAGTGTACATTTAAGCCTATTTAAGTCTACATTAAATAATTATAGCTTTAAGTCAGGATATAAAAATTTATTTTTTAGTATTGTGTATTTATAAGAAAAATGTGCAAATGAACTGTAGCAGGATATTATCTAATTATACAATAAATTACTGATTGATTTTTATTTAATTTTTAGATAGGCATTTCAAAATTAACACCTAAATGTGATTCACGAGCTAGATTTACAATTTCTGATAATTTGACTGCGAGTCGTGCAGCTTCATCCAAATTGTCTACTGGCAATATTTTCATACCAGAATTAGCAATACGTAATTTAGCTTCATCCACATTTGTACCCTATGGGCAAAATAAAATATGTAAATATCCATGAAAATGATTAACAAAAAATTTATTACAGACTATTAAAATTAATATAAAATATTCACCTGTAAACGACAAATAATTGGTACACTAAGATTTAACTCTTGAGCAGCAGCAATTATTCCTTCAGCAATGATGTCACACCTCATGATTCCTCCAAAAATATTTACCAGAATAGCACAAACCTACATTCAAAAATTAATTTTAAATCAATCAAACACATAAAATAATTTTACTCATTTTTAATAATTTGAGGTATATTTTTATAAAATAGAATTTATGTTTAAAAATAATTTGATTATTATTTAAAGCGTATATTAATAACACAAAGAAAAAATGATTTTTAACGATATCAGTTATGGTGATATACTAGATTTAATGACTAGATTAAAAGCCCCAAACAAAATTCTTATGTTGTGTACATAGGTAAGCAAATCACAAAATAAACTTTACACTAAAAAACAATACAAATTTATATTATTTAAGCTATAAAGAATTATAAAATTTATTTAAGTATTTATTGAAAATACTATTTTCCTATTCAATGCTCTTGAAAAACAAAGAATCTGAATGGAAGACATTGGGTGAATCAGTTTATATTTCTAGGGTTCATTGATATATTAATAGAATGGTTTTTAGTAGATAGTAAGATACAATAAAGTAAAATACAAAATACAATATAATGCTATTATAACAATTGTTACATCATTATTAACTGGTTACCCCAAACACATTACACTATTATGTCATTCCATAGTGATAGCAAACCATAACCAATGAAAATTTGGGAAAAAACAAAAATTTCAAGTACCTATAAACAGCACAAATTTCTTTGAATTACTTTAAAAATTATGAAATGCCTTTCAAATTATACTAATTACACTATGGTAAAACTAATATATTTCATTCAGAATCTAAAATTGAAAAACTAAAATCTAAAATCTGTAAACTTTGGTTGAACATTGGTGAACTTAGAGGGGAAAAAAATAAGACATTTTTTAAGATTTTATAACATAAGTTTTCAAAATATTAATCAAATCAATATACTGGATTGGTACAAAGTAAATAGAAAATGCATACATTTCTTTATTGCATCTGAAATAACAGAAAGTTACAGCTTTTGATGACTATAAATATAATATCTGTTAAAAAAACTCCATGATTTGAGAATCGATTCTTTATCATGTGAGTTTTATGATTCAAATTTTTAAAATATACATTTTTAAAAATAAATATTACCTTAGGATCAGATGTAATGATTTTAAAGGCTTCTTTCACTTGAGAAGCAGTAGCGCCACCTCCAACATCCAAAAAGTTAGCTGGATTACCACCATGCAAGTTGATTATATCCATAGTTGCCATTGCTAAACCAGCACCGTTTACCAAACAACCAATAGTACCTGTTAAAAATATATGAATATATTTAATAATATATTTTTTTTAACCTTATTAATTTTGAATAAATACCATCAAGTGCAATATAATTAAGATTAAACTTCGAAGCTTCTACTTCTTTTTCATCTTCTTGAGTCCAATCACGCAAATCAAATAATTCTTTTTGTCTGAATTCAGCGTTGTCATCAAAACGAAATTTAGCATCCAAGCAGTAATCTATAAATTATAAAAATTATGAAAAGTATCATAATTGAATGCACTTAAATCTTACTTACATCCTCCAGTAGAAATACTCTCTGCATATGGGTTAACTTCAATTAAGAGAGCATCTTTTTGTAGAAACAAGTCATATAACTTCACAATTACATCTGCAGTTTCATCTTTTTGTTTTGTCAATCCAACTTTAGTGACCACTTCTAAAGCCAAATCTCTAGATACACCTAAAAAAATAATTAATAATAAAAATAAATTAACTTCTCCTCCTCCTCCTTCATCTTTCTTCTAACTATTTGGGGTTGTCCACCCTTGTCTTTAACCTTCACTTGCTTTGATTTTCTACATCACCTATATACACATCAACAGTCTCTTTTTTCGTTAATACCCACTTTAAAACATTTCTTGGCACTCTGTCATAAGCCTTTCTAAATCTATAAACACCACGCATAATTTTTTCTTCTTTTTCTTAAAATTCTTTACCGGTTGTCTAACACAAAATAATGTCTCCATAGTTGATTTTCCTGGTATTAAACCAAACTGATTATCTGATATTAATGTATCACTCCTTATTCTCTTCTTTATAATCTTTTCCCAAATCATCATATTATGACTCATCTGCTTATATAGTTCCTTCTTCCTTCCTTCTTCTAGTCATCTTATATAGTTCCTACATTTCAGTATGTCTTCTTTGCTTATAAATATTGGTAAAATAAAACTCTTTCTCTGATCTTCTGGCTTATTACTTTCGGTTTCATGAACAATCTCTTTTGTTATATTCTTAACACAAATTTTTTTCCAAACCCAATTTATATTTTCTTCAACATTTTACATAGTTTTTTCTTTTACTTTTTCTTCTCCATTTCTTTGTTTTCTATTAATTTGCACCAACAAATTCTCAATTCCTTTCCAGTTTTTCTATTCTTACACCATACTTCCATTATCATCCATTATCATTTGGTTATAATAATAAAACTCAATAATAAATAAAAACAATTTTTCAAGATATTCTATTATTTTATTATAATGTATAAAATGCTGAAACCTATTTAAAAATTAAAAATTAACTTTTATATAACAGTATAGCCAAATCATGTTTTAATTTTGAAACCACCTTACTACCAACTCCTAATTAATATCTATGTATATTACAAGTACAAGTATGATTTAAAATGTCCCGTGTTTAAAAAAAAAATAAATCTGGGATCTCCATCACAGGGGTAATTTTTATTAAATTATCACCTCATTTTAATTATGGTAATTTAAAGCAATATTACATATTACTTAATTTTATAGTAAACTCAATTTAAACTACAAAAATATAAATGCTTTATGTATAGAATATAGTTAATATATAGATTAAAAATACTATCACAATAAATTAATTAATCAATGATCCATGTTGTACTTTGAACACATTTTGTTACAACTATAAATATTATGATTCATAAATAACATTATAATCTATATAATTAGTCATATAATTAAAATGTAAGTTTCTTTAAAAAAGATAATTAACTGAATTATTTAATAATTAATTATAAATATTGTTTTAGTCTTATCAAAATTCAAGTAGTAATTATTTTAATAAAGTTATTTTTTGTTTATCTAGGATTGAAGTATTTAATAATAAGTAATTTATATTAATAACTTAATAAAAATTGAAAAAAGATAACTATTGAAACAACCTTCATTTCAAGTAGCATTAATTTATCATAATATTACCTTTGGTAATGTCAATTGGCATGTAAAAAATTGCTTCGGGGTTTTCAGCTGCAACTTTTTCTATGTTGACACCGCCTTGAGAAGATGCTATCAAAACTGGACCCTGTAAATAATTTAAATATAAATATCCATAAAACAATTAATATAATAGTTGTTTTAATATATTTATAGTTACTCCAAAAGCTCTTTCCATCATGACAGCAAAATAGTATTCTTTTCTGGCATACACTCTTTCAGCAACCATAACAGCATTGCAAATACGTCCTTTCTCTCCAGTTTGTTTAGTAATCAAAAAATCTCCTAACATATTATTTGCTACACTCTCAGCTTCTTCAGCCCTGAAATCATAATACTTACTGTGAGGAACTGTATGGATGCAGAAAACAAATTTTAAAAATAACTTACGTATCAACCATTTTCACACCACCTTTGAACCCTTTCTTAAAATGACCTAATCCACGGCCACCGGCCAAAACCTGAGCCTTGATGGCAATATCCGTGAGCCCAAGACGTTGAACTGCTTCAGCTGCTTCTTTGCCGGTCTTGGCCACACCAAACTTAGGCACCGGTATGCCAGCGCCTTTCAACAGCGAATAACTAACATGTTCATGGACGTTGAGGTTACGTCGCTGCTGGCTCTTATTCCACATGGGGCATGCGGGTAACGAGGCTGTAAGCAACTACGGAAAGAGACACATATCACAAAACAAGTCGTACGACGGTCAGAGATCGGCTTCACACCACACTTACCTTGGGACTCGTCTTGCCCAGCGTTTCTAGAACTAAGGAACTTCTGGTAACTAAGTTTGTCATTTCACTGGCGTTCGGTTGACGGGCTTATGAAATGAAATGTTCAAGATTTGGAGCGTAGCAAGTAAGATGTGTTGTCTCCGGGTTTCTTGCCCTTCACCGTGATCGGTAGGAGAGAAAATTTTTCACATCGATTGTCCTCACACCAATCGTGATAAGAAACTCAAAAGCAGCTGCTAGAAAAAAAAACATTAAAAAAAATTTAAAAAAAAAAATATCATCGCCAACGGTTGAACCTTCGCATGTGTACCAACAGCACGGAACAATAGCGGCGGGAAATACGAACGAAATGACGTTTTTGTGAGAACCATTTCAACAATCGCTATTAGTTATATGTTCGTGCACTACACTGCTAGAAAGAATAATACTCGAAGATAAACCGATTTCCATTTTTGGGTTTAAATATTATTTGAGAGAATCGTTATCAAGTTCAGAGCACATCATTGGAATAAATATATTACATTAATAAATCGAACAACGGGATAGGTTGTTCACGAATCGTTATTAAACAAGTTTATTCTCAATCGTATCTAACCATTTCTTTTTTGGTCTTCCTTTTCCTATTTTCCCTTCAACGTTAATTTTCATCTCTCGTCTCATCGCATGCCCAAACCATCTCAGTCTATTTTCTCTCATCTTGTTCATTATAGACGCCACACCAATACTACTTTTCATATATTCGTTCCTTATTCTACCTTCTCTTATATTTTACTCCACTCGTCCATTTAGTATTTATTATACATAATAATGTAGTTTGTACAGATGACAAACATAATTTCAATTGGTACATCAAGTTATTCTAAACGAGACAATATTTAACATATGTTGTATTAAACATGTTTTTAAGTTTTTGTTTTTTATTTCCTAAATTGTCTTCTCCGTGTACTACTTCTGTATTATTTGGTTGAGATAAAATACTTATAGTCTCATTTTTTTTTTTGTCATCCAAACTTAGGTTTTATTTATATAATTATTAGTATTTATATTTTGTGATGGGCAAACCAAATGGACGTTTGCAAATATTCCATTTTATTACACTATCGAACCTTACAATATTATACTATATTATTTATATTGATATTTAAAAAAAAATATCAATATAAATAATCTTCATTCTGTGCCAAAATCAAAAATATTTATAAAGATGAGATACAATCAATGAGAGCATAAGACCGATCTTACAGTCATTTGGTGTTTTCTGTCTCAAGATACTTGTTGTTACTCATGTTACTTATCTAAAAGAAATCCTCACACAAATACTAATAATAACCACCACTAAATACGTCTCTTAGCTAGGTAGTCGCGGTAACCAATAATCACCAGAACAAATAACACAGTGCGATGATTAGATAGATTTTTCCATCACAATTTATAAACAATTAAAATACAGGAATAGCACTGTTAATGGATTAAATTACAAAAGGGTATAGTCATATTCCAAGAAAATAAAATTTTAATTATTTACAGGGATGTTGAAGGAAATATGATAAGAATAATTTTGACAATATTTGTCCAAAAAATGCAATTGTTCAAATATTATTCAATTTGTAAACGGTCTTTTAATTCTTCAACTTGATGTATCATATTACTCTTATTATTATAAAACATGTGTAGAAACTACAATTTTTAAAAATGATTCTTTGAACAAATTATAAATGTACCTTTGGTTATATTTTATGAACTAAATGTTTTTTTTCCTTTTTTTTTACAATATTTGTACACTTTGAATAAATACAAAAATAAATAAATTAAAAAAGTACATGTGGTAAAAAAAAAATTCCAAAAATATTTCTACAAGAACAACAATTATTGAATTGTGAATTGAAATACAATTGCATACCATCGTTATGTACTATTCATATTATTAATACAAAACTTAACATGTATGCGTGAATTACGAGTGGCTTAAAAATAATTATACTTCAGAATTACCTAGAATTAATTTACATCAGTCAACCACTTATTACTCAATCAATTGATTAATATTGTATTGACGAAACATAAAGCAATACACAACAGTAAATTGTATAAAATATTATGCGAGGAATGTATACAAAAAAAAAAAAAAAAAAAAATAAAAATACAATGAACTATAAAAGTTTTCTCACTTAACTGGCGATAATAAAAACGATTAGGAACAATTTGTACATAATATCAGAGTATATTGGGGGTGGGATGGGAAGGGGAAAAAATACAATATTTTCTTTTGTGTTTAGTAGTTATAAAAATGAACAATTATTGTTTTATCATTATCAACTTATTTTGTAGAACAAAAATAAATAAATTAAATTATGGTTTTTATTTTTATTCATTTATTTTATTTAGTTGACTAGAATTATTTGAATCTTAACAAAATACAATTTGAACCGAATATCGTGTTATGATTACAATAAACTAGAGGATACACAATCAAATCGGATCAGTATTTCTTCTAAAGTGTAAGGAGGCAAAGGACTTTCCTTGTTTAATTAACTTATAAGCTACACATTATATAATAATAAAAATAATAATAATTGAACCGTTTTAAACAAATTTAAAATTTGTTAGAAAAAAAAAAAAAAAAACATAAAAATTAAAGCAGTTATTCAACAATAAGTCTTAATTAAGACTAAACTCATTATTCTTCAGTCTTTTAGGCTTACAAAGAGAGCTATCCAATCACATAACTACCTCTGGAAGTCAAATTCGAATCGCCATTATATAAATATATATTAAATATACACTAACATGTACACAGTATTTTGAGCAATTTTACTAGTCAAGAATAATTATATCAATTTGTTAATAATAAAAATAAATTAAAAAAAAAAAAAAAAAAAAAACAATACAAATTGCACAATTATATCAGTACCTAGTATTATGGTGGCGTTTATGCCTTTTTGGTTGACGGTTGTTGTGATGATGTTTGGATGACGATTTATGCACACACGGCTGTGCAGCGGCACTCATCACATTGCCATCAAGCTCAAGTTCAAATTTGGCAGTCACTACACACCTGGTTGGTGCTGGAGAAGCCTGAGTTGACACTGTAGGCACAGACTGAGTTCGTTGTGGTGTTTCAATATCGGATCCACTGTCTGTACTATAATCGGACTGACTTGATGGTGATGGTGCTCTTGATGATTGCTGAAAATTAAAAAAATAAGTAAATATATATATATGGTTTAAACAGATATAAATTATTCGGAGAAAATATTCAGAAATATTATATGTTCAAAAATAAATAAAATGTCAAACCCAATAATTTTTAAGAGCTGTTTTTAACTGATATTAACTTAAGCTCATTCAAAAGCTCTTATCTATGTAAATACTATATACTATTTATCTAATGTACTTTTTCATTCTATAAATTATAAATGTGATGATTTTAAAATTAAAAATTAAAATAAAATATTGAGATATTGGATTTTAATTGTAGAAATATAAGTATCGAGAAATCTATACAAATACTCAAAATTAATTTATTAATATTAGCTTATTTATATTTTTAGATTATTAACATATCAAGTTTTGTTTTACTTACTTGTGACTTGGTTGTTTCCACATTATTTAGAGATGTGGAATGATAGGAACCTGATTCTTCGGCAATAGTAGACAATGATCGACGAGTAAATTTTTTGCCCTGTTTTTGGTGATGATTTTTGTGGTGATTTTGCTGATGGTGTGATCGATTAGATGGTGGCGGAGGTACAGATTGTCTGATGCTAGTATACCGAGCATGTTTTTTGATTGGTTCTGGTGAAGGTGTACTTATTCTGTCAGTATACTTCAATGGTATTATCTATAATGGACAAATATTATAATAAAATAAACTTTATTATTATTTAATGAAACACTGAACAAACCTCTGGTGGTGGGCCAAACATGGATAAGAATACTGGTAAACATACAAGGCCGTTAAACAAGCCAAATACAGTACTGGCAATTAACATAAGGAAATATGACCTGTTATGAAAAAAATCAAACATTTAAAATATGATCTCTGGAACATGCAATCATTTTTTAATAATTACTTACTTTGACACATAGTTGTTTTGGAAAATTAGCATTATAACTGCAACGACTAATGTGGCTCCAGATTGAAGAACTATTTTTGACATGTGATCTACCGACAAATGAGTTCGTCTTTGTCTGTCGCCAATACATGTGACAAAACTCTGTTATAAAATTATAAAATTAATTTTCAATTTTTGTAATCATTAATCATTTATTACACTTACCAAGGAAAGATGAACAGTGAATGTTATTCCAGTACCCATGGTACCAATTAATAGCACAACAGATATGGCGCTGAATTTTATATCAGCAAATCCCATAAAGCCCAAAATCTGAATGACCAATACAGCAGACATGAATAAAGTTATTAGGGCAGCTCTGACATTGCATAGGAACAGTATACAAATTAAAAACAAAAACAAAAACGTAAACGTCATGGCCACACATAAATATTGACGGAGCTCTTGATATTGTTCCCAGTATACAAAAGGAATGCCTGAGGGGTAGTTGGGAAGTCCACGCTCATCAAAATGTTTACAAATACCGCGGACAGTTGATATAAATTTGGTTATTATAGATGTTTCATACAAATTGCTGGCATAAAATGGCATTTGTGCATATATTATTGGTGATGATTTGACAATTTGTAAATCATAATCATTGGCTACGTGTGTCCAATGACGAGGTTCTGGCCTAATGTTGGCTTGCGATGCACCATACGCTAAAATGTCATTAGATACCCAGGCAGTCAGTAGATTGTAAAATGTTTCTTCATTTATAATGCCATTTTCATTGACTAGTCTAGCATTTAATACTAATGATTTATCAATGGGATTATCACTATTGCCCGTTTGGACGAGAAGCTTGTAACCTAGGATGCCATTTTCCGATGCACATGATTCCCATCCTTCTTGAGTAATGCATTTTTTCGCCCAGTCTTTATCAAATGACTTTTGCAACCCTACAGGCAAATCAAACATATTAAATTTAATAAAACATAATTAAATTTAATTATAATAAATGCTTCATTATTATTACAATAATCAATTACCTAATAACCATTCTTTGAACAAGGTTAGCCACATCTGAGGCAAACCACCATTATCATTTTTCAATATATTAGGAACGCGCATGAATGCATCATGATATTCGTACAGTAATTTTTGGTTGGTTGGATACTCAAAATCATCTTGTGTCACTGCATACATATTGTAAAAGCCAAACATCTGACCATATGTCCCCAGAAACTTTTGCTCATTTGTGCCACTAGGCACCATTTCAGGCAATGTTAGACCGGCTTGTATCTTGGTAATACCCCATATACTGATTCCCATTATTACAATAAATGCTAAGATGACCTGAGTACGACATGAACCAGTTGTCAAATGTTGAACATATTTCTGGGCAATATCTTTAGGTGTCCAGTTACAACAATGGGTTTTTGTTACCATTGGCAAACCATCTTCACAATCAGAACTAGAATCTTTAAATTCTTTCTAATAAACAAAATAGGAAATTATTATAGTTAATTGAGTTTAATATAACTGCAATAAAATTACTAACCAATAACAAATTTGAAGAAGTGTGGGAAGGCATATCTGATTTGGAAGTAAATTGTAGCATTTGATCGCCAATTGTACTTGCTGTTCTTGAAGAATTATTATTGTTAAAAAATGGCCATTTTAGATCTTCAGATGGAAAACAACAAAATATATCAATTCTTGCACTTCTTCTTCGACGTATATCAAAGCTGATGAGAGATGTAACACCAAAAAGTGTAGTAACCAAAACAAATAAGACCAATATGGCAACCTGCAAGCAGAATGCTCGCAATGCAGGAATTGGTACAATAGCAGCAGTAAGGAAAATTGATATTATAATGAAGGATGTCATTAGTATATTTGTTCCAGTATTTTTTAATACTAAGCCCACAAGTTTTTTTCCGATATGAACATTGTATTTTTGTGCCTATAAAAATAATAAAGACATTAGAAATATAAATAGAAATATTTTCAAAATAATATTCTAGTATAGTGTACTTACAGTATGAATGAATCCACGATTTGATAGTCTTTTGTAACTAAACATTAACAAAAACATGTTGTTTACTCCTACGGCTGATGAAATTGATATAACAACCTATACAATTATAAATACTTTTATTCTCAATACATTTGCACATACAATAATTTTAATTACATTAATATATATTGTATTATTTTATATATGTATAATAAATATATTAGACTTACAGCAATGGTGGCGGAATGAATTTGAATTCCAATTAGACAACAGAAAGCAATACCAGATGCAATTGATAACAATATTAATAAAAGACTGAAAAGACCAATGACTAATTGAGATCTGACAGCATCGAATATATTTATTTGCACAATACAAACATAGAGAACCTAAAAATGTTGATAAAATTTAATTAATAAAACTATGCTAGTTTCTGAAAAACCATTAATAACTTACCATTATAATACATCCAATATAAATTAATTTTGGATTCATGAAATCATATTGGCTTAATAAATCATTGAGTAGCATTGTTGAAAACGTATAGAAGTCATATGGTTGCATATTAGGTTGTTTGAGCATTTTTTTTACTTCCTGTAATCATCCAAAATATATCCATTTTTAGAATTAACTAATTAGACATTTAAATTATAAAATCTATGCTAACCTCATTAAATTTCTTTTGCCATGTTTTGAGCACCAAAGCAGCCTTTTCTTGGTCCCATGAAAAATGTAAGACTTTATAGCTTTGCGACCAAAATTCATACAATTCTTTCTCACCCATAAGTTGTAACACAGATTGAATTGCCTCAGCACTGTATATTTAAAAAAAAAACCCGTCAATAATTGTAGAGAATTAATTGTAAGTGTTATATAAATAATTACTTTTGAATGTATCCAGTTTTGTTTTGAGTAATACCACCCAAAAGCAACTCCTTAGGCCAATGCATATATTTACTAGCAAATCCTCTACAACCGTTCGCCAATTCTGCACCAATATCTGGTATCTGTAAATTTATTATAGTATTAAAATATAGTTTCGAAAAATACATAATACTATGAACCTTAAATAATAACCTTGTTCGTTTTTTTCAATCATTATATTTTACCCCTACGACAGTATTACAGAGTTTTGTTACTAATAAAAATAATAAAGTTATCATTTACAACAAGGATGTGGGTGCAGGAAATGTGGGCGTTGATCGTATCCCCTTCATCATATACGCCTTGTTAGAATAATAATGTTCTAATTATATTACACGATCGGCGTATACCGAGTATATGTACTATTTGCTTTTGTGAACGGATTAAATAACAGTGCATTGTATAAATGTAGCACACACGAATATAAAACTGTTAAGGATTTAAGATAATAATAATTTAAACTTGACGTAATACTCAAACTATTATGTTCTTCAATTGTTCAATTTTTCAAATTGTATAGAAAACAATTTTAATAATATGACATAAAATTATGAAATTATTATAGGATACTACTTGGTAAGTTCAAAAGTGGAGTTTTTTGTAAATTATTATTATTTTTTTTTTACAGTAAACATATAAAAATACAGCGTAACTGTGAAACGAATACTCGTAGTAGGTAAACCCAATATATCACGAAGACACGAGATGGAGATTATTGGTTATAATCATAGTTTCAAATATTTTTACACGGCGTATTGAAATATGTTTCAATTAAAATGTACGTTATTGTATCGATTGTATTATAAAAGTGACAATTTATACGTTCTTCCGTTCTTGGCTTTTTCAGAAAACGTCAAATGTCGTTCTTCATGTTGACCGAGACTGCAGCGATAAAGCGATTGTAAGACGTCGTTTGTGCTTATCAAGAACTGAATACAAGAAAAGTGAACTAACAAACGAGGCGCGAACCACCATAAAGATCGTCGGCATTTTTTCAAATTGTTAAGAATCGCAAAATTTCACATTATATGGTTACTCCGTGGTGTACACCACACACACACACACACGACGGTGATTGAATGCGTATACATAATAATAATGTATTAAGCAATATATTATACATCGGTGTAACTCGATCTGACTCACAATGTGAAATCTCGCTTTGTGAGATTTTCCATTCATATGAGGTTTGGTCGACGGGACAAGAAGACCCCGGCGACGGTGCATGATATAGGCCCTTCAAGAATGTGACTTAACACGGCAGTGACGACGGCAGGTGAACGGACGATTTTCGTTACACATATATATGTGTATATTTTTTTACGCGGGTGTTTATATTGCACGCGGAGATCGAGAAGAGGAAGGGGGGGCCGTTAAATTATGATCAGGTAAGTCATGAGCTAGTGTTACGAACGGGGGGGAGGCTGACTGTCGTTCTAAGAAAATACCGAAATAAAAATATATAAAGATTCGAGGAGCAGGACGAAGCTGTTCGGGTTTCATTACGCGCACACACACATACACATGCGCACCGCACAAACGCGAGAGCGCGCGCTCAAACCGAAAGAGATGAGGACCTCCCACGGAGTGAACCGGCGCTGAGTTGCCATTTACTCGGCATGTACAAACGCCAAAAATAATATAAAATATTATTGTGATTTATTGTTACGATTCCGCGTGCTGCGTGAACGTGTCGCGAAGAATGGAAAAAATTGTTTTTTAACAAATTAGCCCACCAGTATCGTAAGACCACCTCAAACAGCCTATACGTTCGACATGCATCTGCGTCGTACGTCGCAGAATGCTACTATTTAGCGCTTAAAACAAATTAATTACCAAATTCCGATGCAAAAGGTTTTTTTTTTTTGAACGTGTTTAATTAGAAAAAAACAACAACAAATACAAGCTTACATAGCACAACAATTTTTTTTCTTTCGAAAACGAGTAAATAAATAAATCTGGCGATAAGTTGAACGCGTAAAGCGAAACGTTTCAATCGATTCGTAAAACGTGTACATTTATATGGATACGCATTTTTTCGAATACCGCAATAAAAATCAAAAGTAAGGTGATATCGATGGTTTTCTTTTTTTTTTTTTTTTTATGCGAAGGAATGTCTGGGTGTTGTGCATTGTGTACAGCCCAAGGCATAATACCTTAACCGTAATGAAGGCATCACCGACCAAGAATGATGGCTCCAGAGTGGCGTGTGTGGTCTTCGGGTTCACCGGTATACCAACTTCAATTACCCTGGGCACCAGAGAAGAATAAAGAAAGAGGGGAGAACGAGCGAGAGTCTGGTTGTTTTTATATATGCGTGCGTGTGTATGTGTGTGTGTGTGTGTGTGTGTGTGTGTATGAGTATGTGCGTTTGGCTATGACAAGACATGAATAGGTTCCGGCGAACACAATGCCTCCCAAGAGGTCTTTGTTATGCAAATAAGTTAAACATATATGTTGTCTGGAGGGGCTAAATGTTACATATTGGCTAGATACACTACCTAATAAGTAACATACAACTTATGATCGAGAAGAAGAACATACAACACGAATATAATGCATAGATGTTTCGAGTAAATGACGCTCGTTGCAGCACACTTATACTTTTCCTTTTTAAAAATGATTGACCTAGAAAATCATAATAATGAGGCGGCCTATACGAAAAAGTTCCCATTTATTTTTACTAGTATAATGAACTACAGACGTTCTTCCACATCGATGTTTATGTTTATAAATATTCGATTAGTATGCAAAATAGGAAAAAAAACCATTTTTTAAATTAATTTACCGTAAGATTTACCTCACATTGCGTGTAATTACGCGTATTTGGTAATTAATACTCAAAATACTTGAGAGTAATAATTTATAGCCGTTAGTTTGCAATGAATTACACTTAAAATACATAATGCAGATTATGTGCCAGTACCAGCCCAACGAGTCGAATTAAAAACAAAATAACATGTTAATATATATGTTATTGAGCACTAAGATGATTGCAATTGCTTACAAATAAGTCTAGTTTTAACTAACTTTTTTTTCATAATAAGTACTCATTTATGTAATAAATGTATTTAACTTACTCTTTTGGATTTCTTATTTGGAGCTGTTTCTGGACAGTCTGGATCTTCCGGATCTAAGCATAGTTTATCTTGGTAACCTGAATTGATTCCCGCCTAAATGTAAATTAATATTAAAGTACTGTTTTTATAGTACAATATAATAATGTTGTGTTTTTAATTTAACACCGGATACTTACTCGTTTCATGTAAGTTTCTAACATATCAAATGGAAAACTATTGTCTCCCATAGCTCTTATAGATTTCATCAAACTCTGAGGATTTAAATTAGTCCATTTAAGACCTGTTCCAAAACCACTAAATGAAATAAAAACAAAATAATTACATATAAATATAATTTAATAAAAATAATAACGAGATTAAACATGTTACTTACGGGACTACTACAGGAGTTTCTGGACCCAAAAGTTTAGAACCTTCCCAAAAACAATCTAAAGGAGTTATTATTTCACAAGGCATCATATTTTCAAAAATCTATGGGAATTAAAAATGTGTTAATTATTTAATTTTTACCGTGCTAAAAAAACGCATACACTTACAGTATCTACATATTGAACTTCGAATTCCGGTGGGCTGGGCGACAAGCAAATGTCTTTAAGACCCCATGTCCTGTTAAAATGAGAAAACCATTAATATATTTCCAAATATATTCAAAGCTCGGAGATAACATCAGCGTAGTATACTTACACGTCAAACAGATTGACTGTGACATGGGCGGCATTTTTAAGGAGTTGCAGGTGGGAGAGCAGGGCTTTTCTATGAAGAAGCCGCTGTTGAGGCATTTCCGGAGAAGTACCCTTCTTGGCTGTCTGCGTGACCAACACATGTATGGCGCTTTCGGTCTCTCCCAGCGCCTTATAGGAGTATTGTAGTTCCATTTCCAAACGTCCTCCCGCTGTACATAATAATTAGATATAACCCGATTTTGATTACACATATACACGTTACACGAAATCTATGTGTCAAAAATTACAACAGCTTACATTCAACCCATAACTGATTAAACTGGGAGTTTCCGTCGAACGCTTTGAATCCGGCCAACAGAACTCCGAGGCCCAACAACAGGGGCAGGAAGTATACATGTGTCTTGCGATGAATTGACCTGCCCAATCGCTCCAGGCAATCTTGTAGCCAAGCTCTGAACCGCACAGCGCACAAACGTCCAGCAGCCTTACCCTGTAAATCGCACATCATACGTTATAAATACATATATATTTAACGGCCTCCCGTTTTTAAAGAACAATGTTCAAAGGAAATGTGCACCGATTTAATCACGGCAGTCGGTTAAAACAAATGCATATGTTAAGAATAAAACAAGATGAACATATCTCACTCGACATCGAAGCGGTATAAAATATTACAAAAAAATATGTTTTCGTTTGAATAGAATATGAGAACCACTGTTTCACGATCAGTGGGAGCAATGTGCCAGCTGGATGTTACTTCCTCGACGCTAGTGTATACACATACGTATAATATAAATATATATGGGGACCACATTGTGTTGTGTGAAGTCACGAGGACCACCCAGACATCTCAATCGCAAGGAAAAAAGAGAGGCTGGAGGCTTGGTTGCAACATATAATCATTCTTGGTAGCAATGAGCTGTCCTGATGCACCGCGTGCGCGCGCAAGTGTGTGTATGTGTGTGTAATAGAATGACTGTTTTAAAAACATGCCGAACGCTTAAGATTTGGGTCAAAAAAAAAATAAAAAATAATAATAATAATAATAATACCTACACTTACCTTCCTGTTTTAAAAGCTATAAATTATTACGGCTATCCGCGTGTCATTACAACTTGAGTCCGTATATGACTATATAATTGCGGTTATTATAATATATACAGGAACGTTTGTAAATCCGTATTTAATGGGTTATTAAAACGTCTAAAAGAATATAATATTAAGGTATAGGTTGTAAGAGGTAAGCTAAGAATGGGTAAGTATACACCTGTAATCGATTAATACGATGTTGATGATACGCAATATGCTCATCGTGCAGTACCCACAGACCGTGGTTGAAGTCTTCGTGTACTATTTTATTGGGACAATATTTTTACTGAAACCATAATGCTTATTTCTCAGTTTCGTTGGAATTAGAGTACTTATTAGGTGCTTGTATACATTATTTATACAGGTTTAGATTGTATACGAAATAACCCAATTTTAAAAATGTATTTAATAAATACACATTCGTCGAAAGGAGTTTTTATTCGGTTATATTTTCCAGTGAATATTTAAACTTTTTTTTCTAATAAAGTAACGACAATAAGGATGGATTACACAATGGTAAAATAGTATTATATTTATCCAAGGCAAAAAATAAAATAATCGCACATAATTTTATTATAGCAGATACAAATGGTCTAATCAAACTATTATTATTCATCAGCAAAATAACTGCAATATTTTATTTGAAAAAAATGAAACTATTATCATATTATTACGGAAGATTTAATAGCTAATAGAAATTATAACTCACATGTATGTTTTATACATTCGTTTATATAAAAACTAGTTAAATACACTGAATTGAAAAAGATCCATGCACTGTTTAAGAGATGCATACTATCATTTTTTTAAGTACTTTGCTCTAAACTTAACTAACCTTAACTATAAAAAAATCGGACCACATGAAACAATGAAGAAGTTGTTATCTCTCAACAGCTTCCAATAAATTATAGAAAAAATATTCAAAACTGATCAAGACAGAATCCTACAGGTGGCGAAGTAAATTACTAAATTAACTTATAAACAGTTCTAGAGACTTGAAAATTCCTAAAGTAGTAAAGTTTTCAATAAATATAGAGCATTTTGGATTAAATTACATTCAAATTTTTGAAAATGAGCTGTTCTTTTAGATTAATATCATATTCGTATTTGCTAACTTAATTTACAGACTTGATATAAAGTTAATAATTTAATGTAGTGTCTATATATATATTAAAATGTTTCAGAGATTCACTGTTTAGTTTAATTTTTTAGTTTTGTTATTTATAAGCGTTCAAAGTTGGAAATATATGACATGTAGGTATTTTACAAATAACAATATATTATCGAAGATATTAATACGTTTTCAGATGTTAAGCGGAACGAAGGAGCTATTGTTAAGCGAACAATAGCGTATGGTGGTTTTGATCGCGCCTTATACTACTGACATTCGGGGTGGTAAAAATTTCAATAGTGAACCACAAATTGTACTGACATTATTGAGCACACTTTGGAGACGTCTAAATTACCAAGTTTTCGAGAAAATAACATTAAAAACTGATCGAACAATTAATTGAGCAATTAAAAAACTTCATTTGGGCGTTTATAAAAAAAATCTCAATTGTTTTTGGGAAACTGAACACTCCGTTCAAAATAGCTTATTAAATGTATAATAACGAAGGTACATTCAGCACTACAGCAGGCCTAGACGAATGCCACCATTTAGTATAACACCCGGTATAACATAAATTTATATATATATGTATATCAGGTAATTTATTTTTCTACCCACGCACAGGCGCATGTCGGAAGGGGTCTTCGGAGTACCATCAGACCGGCGCGACTAACGTTTGTCGGAAGATTTTAACGTTTCAAAAGATGAAAAGTAGGTAACCTACGATAAATAGTATGTTTAATGAACCGGCACACGTTTCCGACATTCGACACAAAGAGATACACGTACTCATACACACACATAGTATACAACTATAGTGTGTAATATTGAAACACGAAATCGGACACATTGTAAATGGTATATCCGCGTCCCGAGCGATTTTCGTCGCACAGGACACATTTCAAAGGACATACACAAGACAAACCAAAACGGAATTCTGACAAGCCGCATATAATTGGTTTGCATTTGGGAGGTCTGAAAACTCGTCGTGTATTTTGACATGCACGCGCAGCAGCAGCCGATGGTGTGGATTTCAATAGTGGATGCGACGGTGATCGCGAAAATGCGGCAGACTACGAAATACTTTATAATATAATATAATATGCGATTCGTTGCATATACACGGGACAGTTTTTTAATTTAATTACAAGTTCTAAATGGTGTTTTCCTATTAACTCATCACGGTTTAGTGCCAAAATAAGGAGGAATTACCAGACAAGCGCAGTAATTGATAACACCAGCAAGTAGTTACAGCGTAAGACGGCAATAAAATATAATTCGCATTTCACACGTAAGTACCGACGACGATGAGTACCGGAAACCGGACGTCCGGGATTAAAAACAACACGTACGCTGCACTGAGACGATAACCCTGAGCTGATAACGAATTAACTAGAGATCGAGAAGAGACGTGTCTCCGACCCGGCAGAAATCGCGGCCGATCCTTACGCCAGTAGCGTGCCGAGACTCGATAACTTTTCGATGTCAAGTCCGTTATTCATAGAATCCCAATCCCCAACAAGTTCTATTGAATTTAACCATGTTGTTATCATAATCAACTTGTACACCATTACTACAGTAAATAATTCAATTGGGTGCCCTCATAAATTATGTATTTTAGTTAGTAACATGCATTTCGTGATAGGGAATTCGTCACAATGGTAATACACCTCACGTGAGGTCAATATACGTAGTGTAAATTTCTTAATACGCCAGAGTGACAAATCGTGATTTTATTTTAATTATATACGGCTAGGGGGCTCGTAGGGGACGATTTGAAGACGCAAAGATATTTTAAACAGATGGTTCGTAATGGACGAGAGTGATCATGCGTGAAAACGCTTGTAAGGTTTTGCAGTTTTCAGTCGCAAGTCGACGAGCCCCGGTACTACACATACATACATGGAGGCATTCCATCCAAGGAGTTATCGTTAAGCGCCGGAAATCGATCCTACTGTTACGTCCTATGAAAACGTCCACCGAGACCGGCTTACGCGCGACGGCACGGATAAGTCGATAAAACGTACCTTTTCGATTTGTCTACGAGCGACTTGCGCATCCTGAAATGTGGGCCTCACGAACAGGTCCAGTACAACGTGGTCGTGGTCGACCATATCTCCACTGCATCACTTTTGATCGAAAGTATCCTCATTAGGAAATAATAACGATTCGCGATTGCTCGGCATAAAAACCCGGCGGATGGGTCGCGCGAACGGTACGCCGACGATCACTGCGCGCGCGAGGTAAATGTAAGCGTCGGCGGCGGCTGGCGAAAGTCCGAGCGAAACGGATAAGACTTGGTCGCGGCACGCGTTCACTTGTTGCGCGCACCACACGCACCACATGCGAACCCAATTGCGACGGCGCGGTTTCTTTGTGATCGGCGCGCTGGTAATAAACCGCGCGCGCGGAATGATCGAGAAAAAAAACAAATGATATATATGTAAATATATCAATGAACAGGATCGAAACGGTACGGCGGTTGGTGAACTGACGACGGGACGAACGCACCGGAACGGCACACGTACGATACTGCCGAGAAAGGACGGCGAGTCGTAGGCGCGCGGAATGCCAAGTTGCACGTTCGACGGACGAACGTACCGGAATGGGAGTACGTAACGTAACGTAGGTACCTCCGGGAGACCTGCAAGACACTGATGCGCGTGCGCGCGCGTACCACCGTCGCCGCAGCAGCCATCCCGGTGGTCCTCGGCGGCGGCGGCGGCAGATGGCCGAATTTCTCCCACCCGGCGGCATCCCGTAACCGTAGCAGTGCCGGCACCGGGACGGAACAGAATTACCGTGCCACCGCGATAAAGTAACGCGCCGTAACGGAAATAATTTATTCTACGCGGTTCTGATTTTATAATTGTTGTAAAATAATATTTTATTCACCAATACCGTCAACGGCGAATTTCACGGCCGAATTGTTCTATTCAACACGTTTTCCGTACGTAAACTGATTAGATTCCCGAGAAATCGCATGTTCGTTACGCCTATACATGCAATTCATACGCGTGTGCCGCAACGACTACTGCACGCCGAGCGGGTGTTGCGTGTGTCGAATCCTCCTGGGGGGCTTTCCCCCAACTAAGGATACGCACGAAAACTGTAAGTAATGATTTCAAAGAGAAAAACTGATCGCATGTGTAACATCATTTTGCCGTAGAGAAAATCGAATGCTCGAGATTTGCGTAAAGATGGCAACGGAAAACGGAACGTCGTCGATTTTCAATTATTTTTTAATCATTTATCATACGTGATATTTCTTTAATCGATTTCCCTTAGTT